TTAAATACTTCTTCCTATTATCTGTACATTACTATTGGAACAACTAATGCACAAATGTATCAACTATTAATAAAAAAATAAAAAATACTATTAACTGCATTTGTAATATTGTGTAAAAGGGAACTCCGGTTGTGCGCTAATCGTAATTTACAAGAAATTAAAAATTAAAATTAAAAGTAGCATTCCAATTCCAAGAAACGCGTATAAAAAGAGTCAACTTTAATTTCAAATAATACGCAATCGGTTGCAGGGATAAGTTGGCAAAACCGATTATTTCTGCTATTTTCTAACAAATTACAATATTAAACAAGCATGATTTTTAAATATGTCAAAGATGACTTTAAAATTCCTACTTGCTTAATTCTGAAATCTGTTAAAAAACAGTAAAAATAATTAATTTTGCCAAATTACTCTCGTAATCAACTAGTTTCAATCTCCCTTATATATTCATCTCAACTTTGTTTCAAATTAACATTTATTACCTAAATAATAAAGCAAATATAGAAATGTAATTTTGTTAAATAAACAGTAAGTTTATTGTTCCGCCACTCAAAATATGACACTAAACTTTACAACTTCCTTAAACGTACAAAGTTATTTAAATAAATATTATTCCAAATATATCAGAAGCAAACCGACAAACGTGAGACACTTAGTTTTGCCAATAATAAAGTTCGAAAATAATAAAGGATGTGTGATTGCGAATAAAATTATACACAATAAATATTGTGGTCAGTCACTTTTTCCAACCGCACAATTCATATTCCTTACACGGAGAGAATATTGTAATAAAATAAAATATTGTAATAAAAATTACAATACAGTTTTATACCCCGGGAATAAATTGGCTTTATGATAATAATTATAATAAGTAAAAATGACCATAAATATAATAAAAATTATCATAAAACTAGTAAAAATTATCATGTTTATCGTCATTTTACTATATTTTATTATAATTTTCATAATAGTGTCAGTCTATTCCCGGACTAATAAAATTGTATTATAATTTTTACTACAACTAGAACATTACAGGCGCGCGTTACGCGCGCGCTAGTTAGCATCTTTATCATTACAATGACCTTTTAAATTATCTTATAAAATTACCTTATTCTTACCCTTATTTTTACCTAAATAATATGCTTCTCTCTTTGTCTGCCCTTTCTTATTCCTCTTTCTCCTCTAACCTTCTATTCTCTATTCTTCTATTCTTATAATTTATATCTCTTCTGTATTCTTTTTTTCATGTGCTAACCAACAATGATAGTTATTTGCCTGATAATTTGACAGGCGCAAACGACACGAAGCAAGCCGCAGCCCACATGAAGTGAGCTAAGCGAGAGGACTAACCAGCATCGCGGAAAAGCGCCAACAATTAAATCTCTTACATCTCTTATCTCTTTTTTTAGAATGGATATTTTCTTCGTGTATACATACACATACATATTTTCCTTTAAACATAAAAAAACAACAGATATTTTAGAATCTAACGTTAGCTGACTCATCTTGTGCATATGTTCATAATGTAAAAAATATTTTATATGCAATAGCATGCAATGTAACGTGTAGTTTTATATATGCTCCTTTCGATACATTACTTTGTTTTTCTCATAATTTCCCCCTTCTGATATAAAGAGCATAAGAATTATGAGACACTCCTTTCCAAAATATAGTAAAGTTTGTGCATGTCAATATTCTATTTTGTATGCATTCACGTATAATTTACATTCGACACACGGTCGAACGATAAATCATCGGTTACAGCTGGAAAAAACCATGCGGTAAACACCTAACATGTATTTCGTAACACGCAATATCGCAGAAAATAGTACATTTGCCAAGTTCGTATGTATATTTTCGTTAATTGGTGAGATACCGTGTTAAATATCATAAATCGATCTCCGTGTTAGAATGAATGAAACCGACGAAATTGCGTTCCGATACAATAGCCCTGTGTTCGTGCGCGCATTATTATTGTGGTTGTTGTGAAGTAGTTTCATTTCTGGAAAACTTATAACTCGTACTTTTCACTCTCGGCTTTATTTAGTTGCTATTGTGTTTGCGTTATATATATATATATATATATATATAATTTGTTATATACAAACGAATAGAAAATTTAATATTGATCAAACATTAATTGAATAATATTTTTAAAATATTCATAATATTTTAATATCGCATTTTACTTTATTTACTACATTATTTCTAGGTAATTTCAACTTATTCGGTAAAACGCTCAAAAACGTTTACCTTGGAGATCATAATATATATTTTTATATTAGAAAATTACATATAATTAAATGACACTTTTTCTATATAACGGAAAATAGATTTCTGATTATAAAATATAGACACAATCTCGATTATATAGTCACAGAGATTAGACGAAAAATTGCGAAACCAAATATAGATTACAAGAGACAAAGGAGCTTTGATTAAGCGCTTTGTAACTCGCCCGCGACAGATGCTTTCGAATCAACCTTTAACAAAAAGAACGGGCGATAAATAATCATGCTCGATATCAGTATCTTATGGAACATTGAAATCAGTTGGCGCAGTCCAACAGCATTTACTTTATCGATCAGTCGCTAGTATGATTTCCTTTATTAAGTCCGGTGCTGCGAGGGCGCGCTCGGAGGACAAAGTTATCAAAGAATCTTTGGTAGCGCTTTCTGGAGCAAGGTAGAAAGCCAATGGGACAGAAAGGTTGATGAGAGAAAAGAGAGGAGAAGATGAAGGTGGAAGGGTCGAGAAGTAAGAGAAAACCCGAGAAGGGAAACTCATCGAGGGGTCTTATAAGCTATTAAAATTAAGACCGGAGAAACTAATTTCTCGCGAGGTACGTACGGAGTGCATCGTCCCTCATTATCATCTCTTCTCTAAGAACTGCAGAAATCCACGAAGAAATTGGCGACGCTGTTAAACAGTTCCAAACTTAGACGAATGAGATGGCAGTAAAACTAAAATCGACGTTAATATTACCGATATATTCGTATTCGATGTAAATACTCTGGTGTAAATTATTTCTAAAATATCTTGACGAATATTTAAGACAGTTATGTCACGTTAGATGTCGTGTATATATATATATATATATATATATATATATATATATATATATATATTTTTTTTTTTTAGATAAAAGTTGTACGGCTTTTTATAAAAAATAAAATGGGCTTTTTTATTTTTATAAAAAATAAAAAATAAAAAGTTTTTTTTCTATCTCCAATAGTTACAGAGATAGTAAAACAAGCATGAAACTTTGAGGGTTTCACCCCTTAAACTGGCGCCATTGCCGATTAAAAAAATATGGGTCTCTTATTTTTGGCCACTCTATAAATATGCCAAGTTTTATCGAAATCGGAGACACACACTTCGCAAATGTTCCATGTAAGTATTATTGTCAATTTGAAACAAAATTGAGATAAATATATATACGCAATATTAAAAATACGAAAGAGTTGTTATTCCTTTTTTCTGACAAATATTTTATTTATACATAAGTTTATCTAGAAATGTAAATATAATAAAAAAAACGTATATAAGTATTTAAATACGTGTATATGTACTTGTATTTCAAATATTAATATAAATTATTATTATTAATTACTTTCCACTGTTATATTTTAAAAACAAAATGGTCAATAATACTAAAATTTATATATTTATATATAAAATTTATATATATATTAGTATATTAAAGTATATATATTAGTATATTTTTTTATATATCATATTATTTTTTTATATATCAAAATTTCACATGTAGTTCAGAAGATATTAAATACATGAATTGTAAATAACTCTGTAACCTCAAGAAACATGTTTAAAAAGTGTCAATTTTACTTGCAAATGTCTTAGCTTCTCGTACAGTCAATCCCAAGAAACTTACTTTAAAAAAAAAATAAAAAAAGAGCGCCTAGTTCTTGCGCTCCGTAAAAAAAAATTATAATACAAAATAATTCGTACAACAATTGTACTACAAAATTAATGATATCAGGAAATTTGCATCAAATGAATATTATTAATTATAACATATTATATCATTTTTCTAATCACTTTATTTGTTATTAGATTTTGTTATGTACCTATTTTTTATATGTTACATCATTCTGTGTTAGGTATATGTTTAAACGAGTTTGTTACGTAACACAGAATGATGTAACATATAAAAAATAAGTACATAAAGTCTAATAAAAATAATGTGATTAGAAAAATGACATATGTTATAATTAATCATATTCACTTGGCGCAAATTTCCTAATATCATTACATATATACGTTTTTTTTTATTATATTTACATTTCTAGATAAACTTATGTATAAATAAAATATTTGTCAGAAAAAAGGAATAACAACTCTTTCGTATTTTTAATATTGCGTATATATATTTATCTCAATTTTGTTTCAAATTGACAATAATACTTACATGGAACATTTGCGAAGTGTGTGTCTCCGATTTCGATAAAACTTGGCATATTTATAGAGTGGCCAAAAATAAGAGTATCATACAAATTTCCTGATATCATTAATTTTATATTAGAATAGTACAGTTTGTTGTACGAATTACTTTATAATATAATGTTTTGTACGATAATTTTCTTTTTTTACGAAGCGCAAGAACTAGGCGTTCTTTTTTTTATCTTTTTTTAAAAGGTAAATTTGTTGGGATATTACCTATTTTTGTACAAGAGCTACATTAGACATAATTTTGCAGTAGATTGATAAAGTAATTTTCGTTTTTTATTCTATATTTTGACTTCAAAACATTGTAGAAGAGATTTGACTGATAAAAATGTGATTAAATTTTGTGAAAAACTGCTTCCAAATATATACATTATTAATATATTTTCCTTTCATTAAAACTATAAAATTGATTTATGTCCGCTTGATCGAGTCCGCCAGCCCACTGTACAGTGGATTAATTACTTGCGTTGCTAGCTCTTTCAGCAGGTATGATACTCGCAGGCGTCCGCCTACCAGCGCTAGTTCGCGCCGTCGCCGCGACGCGGTGACGGCTTCGTCGGACCGTCGCTCGCGGTTAAATATCAGTTCGGCGGTTATATAAACCGGCGCGAGCGACGGGTCGAGGCTTTTTAAGGTGCGCGTTGCACGTTGGGTTACTGTCTACGACATGTTGACTTCCCTCGTACAAGGTATTTTGGTATCTCCACCTCCTCGACAGTACCGACCGGCTGAGAGGAAGGTTCGTGAAATATTTCCAGATTACTCTGCAGCCCAGTGTTGCCGCGGCTTCAAAAATTTATTCACTTGGCTTCTGTTTCAAAAATCACTAGATTATAACTTTACCAGATTTTCTTAAATGTATATAAATTCGAATAAAAAAAACAATTTTAATGATTTTTAATAAATATATTTAAACAAATATAAATAAAATTAATATATTTAAACATTCGTGGAAATATTAAAATATACTCGTAAATAGAGAGAAAGAGAAGGGGAAACCTTATTTTGAAATTAGTTTTAGCGTATTGTAAATTGTTACTAATGGCAAATTCGATTGAATGCATTAGTGCGTAATAAATGTACACTAAATTTGTTTATAATGCGTTTTTACTCTTAAAAATCATTTTAAATTCATCTTCAAATACTCAGTCAGCAAAATTATCTATACAGCATCCATACGAATTGTTTTATTGGCTAAGAAGTTTTTGAAGATCTATTTAATACGACCTTAAGAATAAGAAAGTGACTGTAAACAAGCCTTAGTGTGTACTCAGTGCGCACTGGTATATTCAATCGAATTCGCGATATAATAATTGCGTTCCGAAATTCACTGCCAGTATTGAAAATCTGTAGTTTATGTTATGTATGCTATAAAATTTCTGCAATGACAGTGAATTTCGGAACACAGCCATTTTTATCACCAAATAAAGAAAGTTATTCACCAAATCACCAAAAGACTTTAAAAATCCCCAAAATGGTGAAAAATCAACAACGGCAACCCTGCTGCAGCCTCCACCACTGGGTGTGTGGATGCTTCCTTCTATGATAGCTCGAAGCTGCAGATATCGTGCGTCCGTTCTGCGGGACTTCGTCTCTGTCGCGATTGCGACACTTAGAGCACGCGAGCCACGCTTGCTTTCTAAGTCCACATGGTTCGGACGTCTGCTTCTAAGTCTGTGAGGGACTTTTAGCGTTTTTCGCTTTTGCGACGCGAGCCGCACTCATCTTCATATGAGGAACTTAATCTTCGTCGCGCTTGCGATACTTACTGCACGAGCCTCATTCGTCTTCCGAGTCCACGAGGGACTTTAGTCTCGGTCGCGCCTGTGACACGTATACGACGACTCGCTCATCTCTTTTGTCGCCCAGTGCGACATAAACGTTGGACGTTAACTGGGAATGTCACTGCGGCCTTCCTACAGCGCATCTAGCAACAGTTCTCGTGCGATCCTGCTCGCGCTCGTTTCACGCGGCGCGAACGCACGGAAGCTGTTACGTTGCACAACACATTTCTGAGCGTTTTTGTAAACTTTGGTACATTCCTGACAAATTCCTTTCTCTCTCTCTCTACTCTATGTAAATAATCTTAAAACCCGATTCCCTAAATAAATGTGAACAACATCTTTCCTTCCAAATACCTATCCGATATCTTCCCAGTTTGATACACAAAGGTTTTATGACTTATGTAATTCGTATTCGTGTGGAAAGTCTCCGATTCTCTTAGTGAGTCTTAACACAGCCCTCATACTGCAACGTTTTAGAACAGTCCTCAGGCGGTAACTCTCTCTGTATAGTCATAGAACGAATAAAGAGTTCAACCACATGTCGAATTAATTTGGAGATTATTATTTTTATTCTTTCCAAATTCTTATATTGCTGTGTGCTTCTATTTCAGTACTGAAATCATTGAACTCACTGCCTTGGAATTTATTAATGATTGGGTCATACGTATAACAAACTCTCTTTAATTTCTGGGACGGTGTCCCAGACGCTGCGGTACTCGTGTGCATCCGCCTCTCGGCGCTACTTCGCGCCATCGCCGCGTCACTCGCAGTTCTTAAGTCGGTGGCTATATTAGCCGGCGCGAGACCTTTAGGAGTGCGTTGCACATTAAATCATAGCCTTTAGAGTGTCTGCTTACAGCACGCTGGCTTGCCTCTTACGAGGTATTTTGGATAACTCCACAGTTCTCCACCTCCTCGACATTGATGATCGACTGAGAGGGAAGGTTAGCGAGATTTTTACGGATTACTCATCTTCCATCACTGCGTGGACGCTCTCTTTCGCCATATCTCGAGCACTGCAGATATCGTTCACAGTCCTGCGTGGACTTCATCTCTGTCACACTTGCGACATGAGCCATGCTCGTCTTTAAGTTCACACGGGACTTACAATCAGTTAAAGTGATAGTGGCGAAGTAGGTAAGGTGAACGACCCAAGAAGCAGAGGCCTTAGATTCGACTCCCAAAGATAAGCAAATTTTCGAAGTACAAATTACCCAAATAGTACAAGACAATCCTATGAATATTTTAGGAATATTCTTCAAGAATATTTGGAATATTCCATAGGACATTCGTATATATTCATTATATGTTCGTAGAACATTCGAATGGCACTAATTTAAATATTCTCAGAATGTGAATAGAATAATCTACCGAATATTCTATATATTAAGTTATGCATGTATATAGAAGATTCCGAAAGAATATGAACAGAACGTTTATATTTATAAAAATATAAACATTTTTCTCTTTTCCTGACTTTTTCTTAAATTTTCCACTTTATTGTTTCACACGCTACTTAATTCAATTTAAATTGTACTTCGAAAATTTGCTTACCATGCTGGGATTCGAACCTAAGACTTCTGTTTCTTGGGTTGTTCACCTTACCTACTTCGCCAATGTCACTTTAACTGATAGACGATTTATATTATACATATGATACATCCATGTACGAAAACAAATGATTTATTTAAAAGTAGAGAATAGATCCTTTTAAATGTAAAAAGTATGTGTAACAAGTATGTAAAAAATATATTTAAAAAATATTTATTTGTTTTAAAAGTAAGTGAAATACAAATGACTCACTTTGTAAATTTAAATAAATTATTTTCTGATAATAAAAGAAACTTTAATTTGAAACAGAAAAAAGATACTTTTAATATTACAAAATAATTTATTT